TTTTTTATTTTTTAATGGTGAAACGGTTCCTGTGGTGATATTGTGTGATTATCTCATGCTTGGAAAACCTCTCAGCCAATCACATTCAAGAACCAGATTTAAATTTTTAAATAATTTTCAATTTTTAAATTAACTGAATTTAAAAAATCATCCCGACAGGTGTATCAATAGATATCATGTGTCTAAAAAATTCTTTAAAATGTTGTAAAATAGTGTATGATGAATATATATTTTTAAATATTGTGACAAAATAATGACAAAGTTGTAAAATTGCTTTATTTTAAAATTGTCTTGATAGCTGTATCATTAAATGTCTTTAGCCTACAGTTAAAGTTCATACTGAATATATATATTATATTTTGAAATAACCTTCTCATAATATGATGAATTAAAAAAATGTGTCCTTACAGTTCTGACAGTCCTGATAGCTATCAGTAGGCCTAATATAAATGTCATATATAATTATCTGCACATTTATTTTTTTGGCCTTATGTCTCACATGGGATAAAGATGATTAATTAAGTACATTTGTGACCCTGGACCACAAACCCAGTCATAAGGGTCAATTTTTTGAAATTGAGATTTATACATCATCTGAAAGCTGAATAAATAAGCTTTCCATTGATGTATGGTTTGTTAGGATAGAACAATATTAGTACGAGATACAACGATTTGAAAATCTGGAATCTGAGGGTGCAAAAAAATCTAAATATTGAGAAAATCGCCTTTAAAGTTGTCCAAATGAAGTTCTTAGCAATGCATATTACTAATCAAAAATTAAGTTTTAATATATTTACAGTAGGAAATTTACAAAATATCTTCATGGAACATGATCTTTACCTAATATCCTAATGATTTTTGGCATAAAAGAAAAATCAATAATTTTGACCCATACAATGTTTTTTTGGCTATTGCTACAAATATCCCCCAGCGACTTAAGACTGGTTTTGCGCTCCAGGGTCCAATTTATTTATTATTTAACCATTTATTTATTTGTAACCATTTTAATAGGATTCTTGTAGCTCAAATAGTAGAACATGGTACTAGCAACACTAAGACCATTAGTTTAATAGCCAGTTAATACAAAAACTGATAAGATTATATATCGCATGGAATAAAAGTTTGGATAAAAGCATCTATAAAATGTAACCCTATTTTATTATGCCTACTGAAGAGTGAAAGATGTCCAAGTTCAATGAAGATACCAATACTGATGCTACACCAGACCATTTGAGCTCTAAATTATTATCAACACAAAAATACTTTAGGAAAAATCACCTGCTACTTAAATGTAGCAATGGATTAGAGTGAATTATAGTTGCACCATTTTAGACATCAGTCTGCGAACAAGATAATGAGGTATTTAGCAGGAGATCAGGCCGCTCTTAGACCAGCGGGCTAAAATTAGGCCTGGTCCATGAGGTTTAGACGCCGCCAACACTTTCAGCATTTGTTGTTGTGTCTGCAGCAGTTTACAGTCAAAGCTTAGACCCTGTTCAGTTAGCATAATGTCAGGAAAATGAAAAGCCACTGGTGACGACTAAATGGATTAAGGAAGTTTGAATGAGGAGGTGCTCAGAGTGTAACCAACGGTGATGTGAGAGGGATTTCCCTTTGTCGGCTCTGTGCCTGTGCTTTCCTCGCCTTCCGGCTAATCCTCAGCTATTCTCACCAACGACCTTGGGCTCAATGCTAATCTGACCGGAGAGAGAGAGAGAAAGCCTACAAGTCTTTAAGCCTTCAGAGCCCGGGTTATGGGGAGTTTGGATGGAGAACATGATCTGTCTGATGGTAAGTTCCTAATTGCTTCTAAAAACTATGTTGTTGATTTGATATTGCTAAGTGATGGAATGTTAATTTTACAGTTGTTTTAGTACTTGGTAAAATGTTGTATGCCTACTGCTTCAGAGAACATTGTGAATCTATTGACGGTGCATTATAAGGATGTTGACGGGAAATGCAATGGTTTTCAAAAGTGATGCTCCATCACGCAACCAAAACTTTTAAACTTTTGCTCTCTGACGTGAGCATCTGTTGACCAATGAGATTTTCAGAGAGGCAAGATGTCTTTCAGAAACAACTTTTGGACAATCTTCAGAAAACTAATTTGTGGCATTCCCACATGGCATTGTCCACACTCTCAAAATGATGTTTTGCACCCATACAGTTTAGTTTCAACAAGTTTATGGTGTCATCTGTACATTAGGCAATGGAATAGAGTGTATCTGTTAAATCCTTTCATAAAGCAACAGTATGGAGCAGATTCACAGCTGTGTCCCAACTAGGGATGTAACGGTATGAAAATTTCTTATCACGATTATAGTGACCAAATTTATCACGGTTATCAGTAGTATCACGGTATTGTTAAAATGTGCTGGAGATGTAAGTACCGACACATAAATCACTTCACTAAGTTTTATATTTAAAAATCAACAATATATTCATTTGTATAATTCCCTTAGCACTCTTTTAAAACCTCCCAGCTTTTCCGCCCTGTTTTCACTCAAAACGAACTCTACGTGCTGTGCGCACGTGAGACTGTTACTTAAAACTGTGCTTTATGCTGGACAGTATTTATTTATCGCGAGATGTTCCAATCGCGGTAATCTAATACGGTTTTAATGATAATTAAAGATGAAACGGTAATACTAACCGTGGGGAATTTTATCATGATTTATCGTCAAACCAGTAATCGTTACATCCCTAGTCCCAACTGTAATAAGTACCTCTGCTAAAAACATGTTTTGAATGTAAATAACATAATGCATAAGCAAGCATGCAATTGTTGCAATTATGCGCTGATGTAAATGAACACCATTTAACAAATAGGACCATTGCAACAGGTTAAAGAGGGGGAAACTTATATGTATGTAAATATATAGTACTGTTCAAAAGTTTTTCTAATACTTTATTAACTAATTAATATATAGTTCAGTCATGAAACTCTAAAGGGACGTTACATTTCCGACGAGTGCTTGCGGTGTTCGGCCAATCACAATGCACTGGGTCAGCTGGCCAATCAGAGCAGACTGCACTTGTCGGAAGGAGGGACTTTGTAGAAAACGAAGCGTTTGAGAGAGGCGGGGCATAGAGGACCTACAATAATGTACAGTATTTGAAAAATAATGTGTTTTTTGAACATTAAAGCATGTCAACATATTCTGTTACACCAAATACACAAAATAGTGATCTTTAAAAAAGCATCATATGACCCCTTTAAATACTTACGGCATCGTATCGCCATATGCATTGGCAGTAGCAAGTTCCTGTACTTGCTTGCAGCAGCAGCAATAATCTACAACTACAGCAATAACCAACAGCAGCAGCAATTCAGCAGCAGCGTAGCAGATCTGTTCCGCCAAGACCAAATACATTAACATTGTCATATCCATCACCATGCTAAAATGTTCCGAGAGTTGTCATGATTGAAATACTTTTAGTCAGCAAGGGTACATGACACTAATCATAAATAGCAGTAAAGACTTTTACGCTGTAACAAATAATTCTATTTAAAGAAAATGCTGTTCTTTTGATCTTTTTTTCAATGAAGCAAAGAAAAAATGTATCACAGTTTCCAAAAAAATATTAAGCAATAATTGTTTTCAGCATTGATAATAATCAGAAATGTTTATTGAGCAGCAAATCATCATATTTGAATGACTTCTGAAGGATCATGTGACACTGAAGACTGGAGTAATGATGCTGAAAATTCAGCTGTGAACTCACAGGAATAAATTGTATTTAACTGTATATTAAGATAGAAAACAGTTATTTTAATTTCTAATAATATTTCACAATATTACTGATATTTCACTGTATTATAACCAAATAAAAACATTAGAATATCTTACTGACCCCAATATGTGCATATAAACATCTCCTTATTCACTGAAATAGGTTACTCACAAAAATGGGAGCTAACAAATTTCCTGCACATTCATGTTCATATTTAATGTAGTTATTCACATAAATTTGAGTACATTTCTAACCCTGTAATTTATATCTCAAGTGTAAATAAGCAGCTGTTTCATTCTGTTCCTCACACAAAGCTAGTGTACGCAAACTCAGTCTCCTGTTCTGTCAGTGTCTCTTCATTGCTGTCATCACATGTCCCTCATGTCTCTGTGTCTCTCAGGTATGAACGGCCTCATGTGCAGCAGTCATGCTCTGTGAGGACTCATCACCTGGACTCAGTGCTGGTCCGGATTCTGTGGTTCTGGTGAAACCGAATGCTGAGACCTCCACGGATCCTGTACAGGAGGTCATTCACAGCAGCACTTATGTTTCCTCTGTGATCCCTGCGCACGGCGGCATCAGGTGGGTCAGGGTTTAAATTCACTTACCTGTGATTTTCTAGGGATCATGAAGAACTGATGAACTTGCTCAGGTACGTTTGATTGGGGTTGGAGATAAAGTCTGCAGGGCATTGGCCCTCCAGGGCAAGATTTGAGAAAGTAATTCAGCCAAACAGCCCAAAGTACCTGAAATCCTATAGACATTGGTGGCATGTAAATGTGTGTGGTCATGTGTTCATATTCATATCTGGCATCAGAAAGTTGACATCTTTGTGGCTTGATTTTGCATTGTGGATGAAGTTGTGAGTTGTGAAAGTTACAGTACGCTTTCATAGTAACATGAATGGACTGTTGACCATGGAAGCCGTAAAATAAAATAAAATAATTAGAATAATAATTATCCATTTTTAATGTTTTTGAAAGAAGTCTTTTATGTTCACCAAGGCTGCATTTATTTGATCAAAAACAAAGTAAAACAGTTAATATTATTACAATTTAAAATAGCTGTTTTCTCTATGAATATATTTAAAAATGTAATTTATCCCTGTGATGCAAAGCTGGATTCTCACCCAAAATGAAAGTTTGCTGAAAATGTACTCATCCTCAATCCAAGAGTTTGTTTGGTCATCAGAACAGATTTGGAGAAATTTAGCGTTATATCACTTGCTCACCAGTGGATCCTCTGCAGTGAATGGGTGCCATCAGAATGAGAGTCCAAACAGCTGATAAAAACATCACAGTAATCCACACCACTCCAGTACATCAGTTAATGTCTAGTGAAGTGAAAAGCTATCATGAAGTCATCATTTTAACTTAAAATCATTGCTTCCGGTTAGACTCCTCAATCCTTAATATTGCTTTAACCAGTGAAAAGTTGTCTCATCTGAATCAGGAGAGAAATATGCACAGATGATGATCAAGCACCTTTTACAAGCGAAAACAGTTCTAAACAACTATGTTGGAAGATTTGGATTTGAGAGGACAACAGGGGATGGACTTTTTCACTGGACTGCTTCCATTGATGCATTATTATGGATTGTTTATATTTCGGCCAGTTAAAACAGCTTAATGATGGATGTGTTTCTTATAAACCACAGCTTTTCACTTCACAAGACATTAATCGATCGACTGGAGTGGTGTGGATTGCTTGTGGATTATTGTGATGTTTTTATCAGCTGTTTGGACTCTCATTCTGACGGCACCCATTCACTGCAGAGCATTGGTGAGCAAGTGATGTTAATCTGTTCTGATGAAGAAACAAACTCATCCACATCTTAGGTGGCCTGAAGGTGAGTTAAATTTCATTTTTGGGTGGACTATTGCGTTAAAAAGACTATAAATGTTTAATTGTAATATCCTGGAATCTTGTGTGATCTTTAGTTATTGTTGTCTGAATCTGCAGAATTGATGGTTAAAACCCGGGTCTCTGTTTTCAGTCTGAACGCTGAGGAGCCGTTCTGTCGAATCTGTCATGAAGGCAGCAGCGCGGGTGATCTGTTATCTCCCTGCGAGTGTGCCGGCTCTCTGGCGATGGTGCACCGTGTTTGTCTGGAGCGCTGGCTCACGGCCTCCGGCACCAGCCACTGTGAGCTCTGCCACTTTGAGTTCGCTCTGGAGAGACTTCCCAAACCACTCACCGAGGTAAAATCATCAGCGGCAGAGCTTGGGAATGACTTATATTCTCTGAAGGACTGAGGAATGAGTTCACTCACTTGACGCTCTAGGCAATGTAAGATGTGACCAAAGTATTATTTTGCAGGTTTAGCGGGTGATGAATCTGAGATCCATCTATTTGTGCTTTCTGTAATTCTGTTTGTGGCTGCATGTTGCTATGGAAGATTGTCTGACCTCAGCTGACACGTATTGCACTATCAGCCTGTCAATCTGACTTCAGTTCATGTGAGACAGGAATAAAGAGAGCTAAAGCGGTAAATGGACATATAATAACACACTCTCCATAATAGTCATATGGCAAGTGTTTTAAGGGTCATTCTCAGCATCCGTTCTCCTGCAGTCAGTCACTCTCGAGTCAGAGTAGTGTCCCCGCGTCACATATTGGCGGGTCTGCTTTCCCTCGGCTTCTTTTAAACACTGATCCACTTAGCAGGAAAATGAGATTAGATGAGGAACGTATCCGTGTCGCTGCTGCTTATCTCATGTTTGGGCGGAGGACAGGAAGATGACACTACAGTCCACAAGCATCACAACCTGCTGACCACTGCAAACCTGCCTGCTCTGTGAACAAATACTGAACCAGTGCTCTCATGATGGATTTAGCTGTTTGATAACTGAAACTCACTATCCATCCATCCATCCATCCATCCATCATTTTATGCATCTGCCCATACATCCGTTTCTCTTCTGAATTTTCTTCTTTTCATTTCTTCTTTTATTTTTCTTTCTTTCTGCTTTTCTTTTTCTTTCATTTTAATTTTCTTCCTTCCTTTCATTCTTTCTTTTGTTCTTCTTCTTTCTTTCTTGCTTGATTTCTTTTTTCATTTTCATTTTCTTTCTTTCATTCTTTCTTTTTCTTTCTGCATTTTCTTTCTTTCACTCTTTTTTTCTTTCTGCATTTACTTCCTTTCATTTACTCATTTCTTTTCTTTCTTTCTGCATTTTTTTCTTTTGCTCTTTTTCTTTTCTTTCTTTTTTCATTTTTTCTCTGCATTTTTCTTTCTTTCTGCCGTTTTCTTTCTTTTTTCTTTCTTTCTGCATTTCTTTTTGTTTCATTTGTTTTTTCTTTTTCTGTCTGCATTTTCTTTCTCTATTTTTCTTTCTTGCTTGATTTCTTTTTTCATTTTAATTTTCTTTCTTTCATTCTTTCTGCGTTTTCTTTCTTTCGCTCTTTTTTCTTTCTTTCTGCATTTACTTCCTTTCATTTACTCATTTGTTTTTTCTTTCTTTCTGCATTTAGTTTCTTTAATTTTCTTTCTATTTCTTTCTGCATTTTCTTTCTTTTTTCCTTTTATTCTCTCTACATTTTTCTTTCTTTCTGCAGTTTTCTTTCTATTTTTCTGCATTTCTTTTTGTTTCATTTATTTTGTTTCATTTGTTCTTTCTTTTTCTCTGCATTTTTCTTTCTTTATGCATTTATTTTTGTTTCATTTATTTTCTTTCATTTGTTCTTTCGTTTTCTCTCTGCATTTTCTTTCTCTCTTTTTCTTTCTTTCATTTGTTCTTTCTTTCTTTCTTTCTTTCTTTCTTTCTTTCTTTCTTTCGGCACATACTTCTTATTATTTTAATGTCTACTGATTTAAATATATGCACTTATCTATGCATTATGTAAAGTGGTTTTGTGATCTGGATTGTTGCAAATAATTATTTTTTTATCTTAGGTTGTCTGAATTTTAAGCTCCATATTAAGGTGAGACACTGCAGGTGAATAGGGTAAAAAAAATTAACTACTAATTATCACCTTACTTACCCAGTTGATTGATTACATTGATCATTGCAAAAATGTTTGTGTATTACAAGTTTTGTAAAATGTTATGTTTAAATATGCAAATAATGCATTATTTAATGAAATATGCGCTAATTTGCATACATTTCAAGTACAAAAATCTGAACACTGGATGAAGTCAGTTTCAAAAATCTTGTTTATTTTTTTTTTACATATTAGAGAATTGACAGGTGCATGAAAAAACAGTGCTTTTGCCTGCAGTGTCTCTCCCCCTTGAGTTACTATCCAAACAATATATGAAATAAGCTTTCAAACTGATTTAATTGAAGTATAACCCCCTCCTAATGAGCTGTGCTTCATGGCTGCAGTGGTTCAGCACACCCTCCATGCAGCAGCAGAGACGGACGCTGTGCGGGGACGCCATCTGTTTCCTGTTCATCACACCCTTAGCGAGTCTGTCAGGCTGGCTGTGTGTGCAGGGAGCCATGGATCTGTACTACAGCAACGGCATGGAGGCCGTGGGACTCATTGTTCTCACACTCACACTCTTCACTATTTACCTCTTCTGGACTGTTGTGAGTTCACTCTTGTTTTCTGTGCAGCAAAAGAAAGTGCAATGACATTTTATACCTGCAGTGTTTCTGATTTGGGAAACAAAAATGGTCTTGAGAAAACACATTAATTAGCTGTATGACACCCAGGATAAATGAAGAAAAAGTTCACAAGTTTTTGAAAACACTTACCTCATAAGAGATTGGCATGATCAGCTATCTATTCGGATTGAATCTGGACTATGTTGAACAACAAATCTGTAAAAGAGTGATTAAAAAGTCAAATGATGATACAATGGTACTAACTTTTCCACACAATCTTCTTTTTTAACCACAGGTATCCCTACGTTACCACATTCACCTCTTCAGGACGTGGAATGAGACGAATCCCAGTGTCCGGCTACAGATTCCCCGTCCTGTGAAGACACATCAGAGAGCAAAACATCTGACAATGCACTTCTTGTGCAAATACAAGAGTAAGGAGACCATGGTGTAGTGCCTGAAACATCATCAGGAAGAAAACAGAAAACTCATGACGTCCTGACTTTGTGTGAAGCCCTGATTTCGAGTCACACTCAGATCTGGAATGATATTCTGATCTGGGACTCACGCTGAACTGAAGAGATGTCCTAATTTGGAGTGAAACCCCAATTTTGAGAGATTTGGAGTTACACTCTGATTTGGAGCGGATGGTTTCATCTGAACTTCTGTTTTAAATAATGGAAGAAAAGAACACGTCTTCTTAAATAAACCAGAGAACAATGTTTTTGATATGATAACAATTGAGCTATTTATACCTGCAGGTTTTACCTTACAAAACTTGCTTCATAATTATTCAACAGAGTATAAGTCTAGAAGAACATACAGTGGCTGTGGCTAGGCAAGACAATCATACAGATTAGCAGATCATTTCATTACTGTTTGCTTTATCATGGAAACACTTAAAACTGTTTTCTTCCATGAAAACATGACAAATGTGAACTTTTAATCATTTGACGTTGTAGCTGAATTGAAAAGCCTAAAACGAATCCTGTGTACATTGTGTGCATTGTAAATGTCACATAAGAAAATCCAACATGAGAAAATATACACTACCATTTTTGAAAGAAATTAATACTTTTATTCAGCAAGGATGCATTACAATGATCAAAAGTGACAGTAAAGCCATTTATTTCTATTCATCAAAAAATCCAGAGTATTTTTTTTATCACAGTTTCCACAAAAATATGATGTAGCACAACTGTTTTCAACATTGATAATAATAATAATAAATGTTTCTTGAGCAGCAGATCAGCCTATTAGAATGATTTCTGAAGGATCATGTGACACTGAAGACTGGAGTAATGATGCTGAAAATTCAGCTTTAATCACAGGAATAAATTACATTTTAAAATATATTCAAATAGAAAACATCTATTTTAAATGATAAAATATTATAAAAAATATTACTATTTTACTGTATTTTTGATTAAATAAACGTGTGCATAGGAGTCTTTTTTTCATATCCCAAACATTTTCGGTGGTGTAAAGTTTTATTTGAACTAATTCATACAAATTTGCCACCAGTTGCCACAATCTAAAATAGTTATGAATTGTCCGTTTAATTCAACAGCAAATTTCAGGTGAGTGGGTTGAATATCTCTTTCAGTATGAAGAAGAAATGTTTGACTCTCTCTGTCTGTCTGCATTTCTCACTGTAAAAATAGTAAATCATGGCAACTTATGTTTTTACAATACTTTAACTCATCAAAATAAGTTTAACTTTAATAATAAGTAACTTTTTTAATTATATGAAATTCAACTTGATTTTTCAAGTCAGTTTAATGTATTTTAAGTTAAAATGATTCATACAACCAAGTTGATTATACTTAAAAAATGTAAGGCAACAACTAAACATAAGTTTTTAAGTTGAAATAAGTGGATTTTTTTACAGTGTGTTATGATTTGATTCCTAATGGGAAAGTGAGGAAAAAAGCAAATAAAAACAGGTTTTACTTTTTTTTACCTTACATTTTCTGTCTCTGCCGGTACAAATAACCTGAGGCTGTTTCTCATTCAGAAAGATGATGCATGATCGTGCTGATGTAGTGAACTAGGCTGGATAGTTTTCCTCACTTCAACACCGCCAGAATACAAATAGCTCCATCCAGAGAGGCGAATGGGTCTGCAGTCAGTAAAACATCACTATGTGTTAGTATTCATGCTTTGAGATGATTTACAAGCAGGTAGTCCAATGTTAGGCTAATGTGCACAAAATAGGAAAGACATACAAGTAGTAGACTTATGCTATAGGCTAGATTCGAGAGGAGAACAGCACAGGTTTTACCCATTGGCAAAATGAGTAGCAGTAAATCATACTGCTAACTATGCTAGTTAACAAGAACAGTGCTTAAAAGAGAGATGAAGGGAATCATGCATCACTGCTATTACACTCATTGTCCTATAATTGCATCATTTGCACAGTAACAGCTCAGAGTCTAGAGAAACACTTTTCTTTTTTAGACATTTTAAGAAAAACTAAGAATAGAAACAACTATGTTTGTTACTAAACTGCTAAATATTGTTGTCTTTGGTGTTATTATTGACATGAGCATCTGCAGTAAATAGATAAATAAGTCACCTGTCCTTATGTTCAGCCTGCAGCCGCCGAAAATCTTTACTTGACCTCTCCATTGCTTCCTTGAAATAGATGGTTTCGATATGAATAAGCTTGAGTCATTTATAGTGTTCCTGGGAACTACCAACTTTAAAAATTGCCAAGAAATGTCAACAGAGAGCGCTTATCCTGAGACATTAAAATAGTAATACAGCTTCCCAATTCACATAGTCCTCCTAAATAAAATGCAACAGCACAACATCCAGGTTACAGAAGTAAAAATACATTTTTTTTTCCCCATATAGGCTAATTCTATGTATAAATCTTTCAAAGCAGTCCTTCAACTGCTGCAGGCAACTTATTTATATATATATTTTTCCCATTTGTATTGGCCATTTAATTCGATTGTCATTTGCTTTATGAGTAGAGTAGTTCATTCCCTCATAAAAACGTTTAAGGACAAAATACCTTTTTCTTTTTATATGTGAAAGCTGTGTTTTCATGCTTTAGGCTAAATCAAGGTTTGTAAAGTTGTTTTTCATCTTGTTTTGGTTCATGGCTTAGTGAAGAATTCTGAAAATCCCTATGGAGAAAATAAATGGAAAATTACTAACAGATCTAAGGCCGCTGAAAAACCCCCACACAACTGTTGATTTCACGCAGAGTTGATGGTACTGTCCATCTCAGCCGTCTATGAATAGAGGCCTATATGCCTGAATAGTAGTCTAGCTACCCATTGCTAAATCTTATTGGATTGTTTAATCTAGTTTAAAATGACCCTACTTTTTTAATGTAATCTGGACAACTTTAAAGGTGCTAGGCTATAGCCTTGCCTATGATTTCTCAGCGATGTGGCACGTGATCGTTGCATCTCAGACCAAAACAAACTTGCCATACATTCGCTTTCCGTTCATCCACACAAAAATCACATTTTTTTTTCTGTGAGGGGTAGGTTTGGGGGGAGAGTTAAGGTAAGAGGATAGAAATCCAGTTTGTAGCCTACAGTATACAAATTATTACGTCTATGGAATGTCCCCATAAAACATGGCAACGAGTGTGTGTGTGTGTGTTAAAACATGGAAACACACAATGTGTGTGTGTGTGTGTGTGTGTGTGTGTGTGTGTAGGCTATACACACACACACACACACACACACAGTCTACATGTAGCCTAGGCCTATATTTAAGATATAGCCTACATGATTAATCGATTTGACAGCACTACATTTTAACAAATTATATGTTGTAATTCTTTTAATGCATTTGACAATAGAATATAAAAAATTTAAATACTTTAACCTGCTTCAACGAATTTTCACATCTTTTTCATGCATTAACAAAATGATGTTAAAGGTGCTATACGATATTTACACACACACACACACACACACATATTATGTAAACACAAACTTTTATTTTGGATGCGATTAGCCGCGATTAATCGATTTGACAGTTGACAGCACTTTTGAAATATAAACATATTTAAATGTTATTGTAGATCTGGAAGGAAACGTGCTGCTGGCCGACTGTCACACAACGCCCCCGTCTGGATGGTAAAGTAATAACAATATCTAACGAACAATACACTGGGATCCAAAACACCTCACTGGGCATCTGGCATTCATGATCTAAATCTGCAGTGAAAGTTTTCGAATTTTCAGTAGATCTAAAAAAGAGGGCAGTTATGATGACTATTCCTAGGTCACTAATAAAAATAAATATATTATTCACTTTGTACAAACTCGTGGAGTTAATGCAGCTTGAGCGTTGCTGTTAAAACAGATGATCAAATCTAATCCATTCTGAAATTAGGTCATTTTAAAAATTAAACTTTTAATTCATATTGTTATGCTGATTATATGATCTGTGATAGAAAAAACTGCATTAAATTAGAAAATAGAAGCATTCTCATTAATGTTCTCAGACATTTGCATCCCACTAAACATTATGCCATTAACGTGTGACAGATGTCTATTGTCAAATACATGATTTAGCATCTATATTTGAAATTTGTTTATGAAATTTAAATAACTGCTAGATTTTGAAAAAAAAAAAAAATCTTAATGTTTGAGAAAACTGTTGAAAGAAAACCGTTGCATAATTTTCTTCAACAGCAGGTGGAGATAAAAGTCCATGAATCCACTGAACAGCATGAGAACTCATTCCTTCTGTACTCAGAAAGGAAGCACACAGCCAGAAATGACCACGAATATTTCTCATGCATCTCATGGTTAAATATTATTTTTTTGTATTTTGCTGTTCAAACTTTAAAATCTAAATGCACAGTTGTTTCTGACCCATTCAGATTATAGGCCACCTTTTTTTTTTTTTTTTTAAATGTGACACTTAAGTACTTTAAATTTCTTTCATCATAAAATCTGCTGCTGGATTTATGTGGAATAATAATGAACCCTGTAGATCCAAGAGCTAATATTCCCTTTAAAAGAATGAAAAGCTTTGCCCTTCTGCTGCTCACTTTGACTTGAATCAGGGCAGGTGAAAGAATATCAAAGCCTCTCACTGCCAAACGCTACTCTACACTTCATAATAAACAGATAAACTGTGCCCCAACAAGCTCTTTGATCACTGGCAGGAGCATATAGAATGATAAAAGCCCACGTGAAGCGCTGGGCTGCTCTCTGGAATCGATCCAAAGGGTTTGATGATGTTGAGGAAGTATTCGAACACTTAAAAAAAGAAAAAAAGGAATTTTATAAACACACACACACACACACACACACACACACACACACACGCACACACGTGTATGGCCTCTATCACCAAGTGTTTTAGTGATTTGCATTTTATTTATTTATTTTTGTAGACTAGTAATGGATCTTGAACATATATATTTTTTATATGTTAACAAGGCTACTTCTCATTAGCTTTAGGGGCATGTTATCAGGTTATGTTTTAAATGTTATAAATGTAGGCTATAATTATTTAAACAGTGGTTTGATATGTGTGTTACTTTTTTATTGTTCGTTGAATGGTTTGTGTCTCGTATTTATTTTTACTGTTTATTCATTTTTGTT